TAGATTTTTCTCTTGATGAGGATGACTTTGAACTCTTGACCACAGTATCTTTAAAATCCTGTTTACGACACTGACGACCATTACCTTACCAGCCTGTTAGGATTGAGATGAAACATTATATTTCGTTATATTTTAGTCAAAGAGATCATTCTTTTTATTTTGCAAATTCAAGGTGACCACAGCCACACCAGCAGGTCTAGATGATTGTTGATACTCAAAACATTGCGTCTACGGTCTTCTGTCATTTCTGCAAAGAGGTTTTTAGCAGTGACGATAAAACATACTGGTTGAGAGTAGATGAGACGTTCTTACTCATCAGCTTGTTGGTTTGATGAGCGTGTCTGCCGATGGTTCTGTTTCTCACTTTATTAGGATTACATGCAGGTAAGTTTGGACCAGGTGGACCCGGTGGACCCGGTGGACCCGGTGGACCCGGTGGACCCCTTGGACCTTACACACAACACAAGTCAGACATGTAAAACACGCCCCCAAAAAATACTGTTGGTTAAATACAAGAGCTACAACAACAACAACAACAAACAGAAGACAAGAAGGAAAGACTAAATGTGGGCTGCTGTGTGAATTTGGGATATTTTAAAGCATAGGAATAGAATTAATATTAAACCCAAATCTTGTAAAAAATAATAGAGGATTCGTGAGTATATACAACATAACACATAACATAACACAATAAGATGTAAAATATGGTAGAGCGAGCCTTATAAATCAAGTATAAAAGAACCCCCCCCCCCTTGTAAAACTATAATTTACTCATAAAACAAAACAATTTTTATGATTAGGTGAAAGGTTTTCAGATCGAGCTTTGGGGGAATGTTAGATGTTGTTTTACTGACTTGAAGCAACATCTTCCTTCTGTTAGACACATTATCAATATCAGGTTCAAGTATCATTTCGTCTCTCACCCTCAGTGAGAATGTCGTTGCAGGTTTCGTCTTTCAGTCGAGGAGGCCCATGGTCTCCTTTGGGTCCTGGTTCTCCAACTTTACCAGGGGGTCCTTCAGAATATATTGATAAGTTTATTAGTTCATTTGTTGAAAATAATTACACAAGAGGACAATCGTGTGTGTTTTGTAGGGATTTTAAAGTGCTGAAACCTTTTCCAAGTGAAAAACAGAAGTCAGTTAATGAATAAAAGACAAACAAATTGCCCACAACAAACCACAACAAAACTCAGCATCATTAATGTGTAAACAGTCCAGTAAACAGCTGTGTGGCAGCTATGAACAGAGTGTATTGAAGACAGTGAGTGGGATGCTCATGTAGTTACACAATGGAGGACTGTTTCAAACTAGACTGACTTCTGTTTCTGAGTTTATTCCCTTTCCTGTTCCACACCTCCACATGGATCGATTATTAGATTTGCGTAAAACCAACATATCTCTCACCTCTTCTCCCTCGTCTCCCCTCCATACCCGGCTCTCCCTGTGCTCCTGGTGAACCAGCTCTACCTAACAGGCAAAAGTACTTTGTTATGAATTAACCTTTGTTGATTTCATTTCATGTCATGAATGCATTAAACTAACAATCTGTGTTTTTACCTGGAGGCCCAGCTGGACCTGGGGAGAAAAAGCAAATAATGTAATCACACATACTGATCACAGCAGAGGCACCAGTATCTATTCAAATACAGTTTTGAAATGCACCTATTAAACAAACCCCTCTGGAGCTGCACAGGTCCATGAGGGACTTGACCTGAAAAACAGAGACACAATGTTAAATGAGTATCGAGTGTAGGAACGCTGACAAACTGAAGTGTCCTGTTAGAGGAAGCTTTGCAAAACCACTCATTCACACCCTGACAGCTGAAACTGTTGCATGTCTCTGTATGTTATCCATGTTAAATGTCAAGTATTGAATGTTACATGTTTGTACATTTATGTGTTGAAAAAGCTCAAATGCCCCGAGACAAATTCTTCCTAAGAGAGAC